CCCCCCCCCCCCAGGCATCTCTTACACACCTGTAATAGCCTCTTAGTGAGTATAAAATTCATTGCCATTCTCTCCACAATAGTTAATGTGGCTTTCTAAGGAGTTTATTCTTGCCTCCGAATTTAACTATAGACCTCTCCACCCCCAAAGCAACATTTTAACTTACTTATTTTTCTAAGTGTTAAGCACCCAAAGCATATATTATCAAGCAAAGGTCAGAAGTTAATGAGCCCAGACCAACCAGATTCAATGTCATTATAACCCATTCTCTCACTATCTCAAGAATAACTGCACAGATTACTCTAATTGTTTAAATTTTTCAGATGCTAGAAAAGAATTTCGCTGTTCATTAAAACTGTGCTTAGAGGACACCAAACATCTGGACGATACCAAGAAATGCAGTAAAAATTTGGCAAGTTTTATCTGTGTGATAGCAAACATCTGGATCTAGGAATGTTCTCAGATACTAAATTGGAATTTTCTATTTTTATCCAGATGTTTGGCTTCACGTCTACACGGTTTAAGTGCCTAGAGAACCTCTCACCGGGAATCTAGAGGGCTGTGATGAAAATGCTATCTCCCCGCTGCACATCACTGTAAGTGCCAGCGGGACACGCAAACATGCGAACAGGACGTGGCACAGATAAAGAAACTAAACATACCCTTCAGGTTTCCGTGGATAGCAGTTTCAGCCTTCCAAGTAGGTGCACAGTGACAACCTTTCAACCACAGCAGATACACAATAAACACCAAGAGTGGCAGCTTCATGTTCCCGCTGTTGCTGCAAAGGAAAAATAAACCTGCATCAAATGCCTGCCATTCGGTTAGTTTCTGTTGGCATCAGTTGAAAACACATGGTGACTGAAAGCATTTTTCTGTCAATTTTTCTTTACGACTTTAGACAATTCATAGGCCTGAGACATAGGAAACCTGGAAAATAAATAAGAATAATAAAAAAGACAATCCAAGTCTCTAGTTTGTTTACATTCTTTATGATAGTTAAATAAGGTAATCATCTGAAGTACCTGAAATTTAAGGTAATGGATAGATAGTAGGGCTCACAGCCCCATAGAATCCAAATTTCATTTTATTTCCATGTCAACAGTAAACATCCCCAAACACGAAATTAGTAAAAATATATCAAAGGGATTTTCCTCCCTCCAATGCTGAATCCTCAAGTGAGTTTTCACGTAGATGGTTAAATATTTTTTTAATTTTTTTTCATGGAAGAAAACTAGACTCACACATTTTCTCATACTTATAAAACCTATCAATATATATCAATAGTTTACAGTTAAATGTTTTTCTTCTCAGATCATAACTTTCCTTTTAGATTTAATTTTATATACATTAATTATAAACATTTAAAATGCAAATGTTTAAAACTTCACAAAGAAACCTTAAATAAATTAAAACAACTGTATGTTTTAATAAAGTTAAATCTATAAAATGTTAGATTATCTTAACTCATCCTAAGGAGATATTTGTTTGCTTTCTGTATATTTGCTATTTTGGAAAAACACACACAAACCCTTCCATTATGTAATCAACATTTGGAATTTTAATCAACATTTGGAATGTCTATTTAATATAATAAAATAACATCAGTACTAGTAATTACAAAGTTATCACATTTTACATACATCTGCATCTATTACTTGAGCTAACTTTTCTATTATGACCCTATTTAGCAAATGAAACTTTTAAATATATTTACCACTAACTTTGCAGTATCTCTCCAGTGAGGTTACTGCCAGCTCCTGGAAGGACCGTCACTCTTCTCTTATTTAATTTTCATCGGTGTCAGGGATTTAGCCTTGTTCTATTAATTTGATGACACAGTTCTTAATCCTATTAACCTAACAGTTTGAGATTAAGAGTGGTTTAAAATTTGGTAGGATTTAGAAAGAAACGCTAGAGGGCGGGCTGTGCACATGATCAGGAACAATGACCTTGAGTTACTTTATTTTACACAAATGTTTTGATAGGACTCATTAAAGCCTTAAAAATATTTTTTAATTTGAAATCTATGATATGTATATTTCTATGAAGACAAATTTAGTTTATTAGAAGCATAAGCAACGTGAAAGAGAGTATGTAAACTCTTAGATAAGACACTTTGAAGATTATTTAAAAAGTTGTTTGGCATTTTTCGACTATATGCAAACACACTTTTAACTAGATAAAGTGATAAAATTTAGCACATAAAAGTGCAACAGATAAGTATTTAGGGCTCACAACAACGTGGTAATTGATTAGCTGAGCTGATAATGTGGCCCCTTAGTACTTCATTTAAAAACAACTTAGTTGTGAGTCATCACAGCCAGGTATAGGGTCTACAGCCATGGGTCTCTCGCTACTGAAATCTGAAGATTGTCTTGGGCCTGCCCCCTTTGAAGGTTTTCAGGGATTAGCCAATCCATACTTATTATGTGCTCAGTACCTCCTAAGCGGGTGAGATTCACATTTCTGAACTGGTCTGCCCGCTTCTCTGGGGCCCTCAGAAGCTGGTCCTTATGTTTGAGCAACCTGTAGTCTGGAGTTTCTGTCCGCTCCGCTTGGGCGCTGGGATGGGCAGTTACAGGACACACTCCAAGCCCAGCTCACACCCCATTTCAGCTGTCTTGCTTACCCACTAAGTCTCTGTTTTAGTGCGAAGCCTCTTGACACTGTTAGAAAACAGATCAGCTCATAGCAAAACGTGAACTATTATTTTAAGTAGTCTATTGTCAGTTTTGAGCAACTACGATTCACACCTATAAACAGATGTGTCCTGTCCTGAGAGGTGGCCCGATGACCAATGGAGGAAGCAGCGCTGTAGGCATTTTTCTCAGGAAGGGAGAACACTGTTCTGAAAAAGTCAGTCAGGAAATTATCCAGCGCTACTCTGACCCTGAGAACTCCTGCTCAGTAGTTTCCCCATGTCCAAGTTCGGGCCAGTTTGAGGTCATTCCTGACAGGCATCTGCACACCCTTTTTCAAATTTTGTTGAAAATGGGACCAGTTATTTAGGCAGTTCAGCGGCCTATCCTCTGTGGCAGGCAGACTTGTTCTGCAATCCATGCTCCCCCTTTGAGTGTAATTTCTGAGAACAGAACTTCATTGCTAACTGGTACTAATTGCTTTTTAAAATATCTTGAAGCTTCCAAAGAGAAATAATTTCTTCCCCTAGTTATTTCATCTGTTTTCACAGCTGCCATTTTGTTCTTAAGATTAAGCAATACTTCATACAAATCCAGTTACTTTCACAATTATGACATCATTACGTTCAAGGTTTAAGTGGATTATAAAATATTATAAATATCTAGTTGGTAACTAAGGCAATCTAGAAGCAAGGTCATGTGGTAACAACCGAGAAATAGAGGAGTCAGACAGATGGACCTCAAAGTGTCAGGCTAAGCTGCGAGGTTCAGGCTTGATCAGAGTTTCTCAGGTGTATGGCATAATGGACTTGCTAATAAGTCACCCCTGATTAGGTCTGCACCTCCCTACCCTTTGCCACAGGCCCAACCTCTGGGCTTCGCACTGGGACACTTCCTTGGCAGAGAGCAGACCGGGAAGCTTGGACCATTCGTGCTGTTTCTTACTTGGAGCCTAACTCCAGCTCACAGTGACACAGTGTCAGTGGTCCCCTGAAACTGGGCAGCCTGGGAACCCTGCATGTGCCTTGTAGACAAGCTGGGATTTGCCGTCTTGCACCAGTAAGGTTGGAAAGGGAAGGGAAGAGAGTGAATCTCAAATGAATTCTCCACAATAAATGAGAATCCAAAGGATTCTCCCAGGAGTCGAATAACTTACTACTGCTTGGGAGGGTGAAAGGAGTGTTATTGTGTGACCGCAATAACACACAAAAATGAAGGCGGGAACACATAAGAGAAGTAAAGTAAAAGACAAAAGCTTAAAGATTCAAATAAATTAGTTATGTAGATTTTAATAGTAATTAATTTCACTACATCTATTTCCTTCCTTCCTTCCTTCCTTCCTTCCTTCCTTCCTTCCTTCCTTCCTTCCTTCCTTCCTTCCTTCCTTCCTTCCTCCCATTCAGCCATTTATTTAACAAACTTAAAGGACATGATTCCTATTAAAAAGCAAAATTTTAGAAGTGGAGTGTCAATTCTCTTATAAAAATTGTCCTCTTTGCAAGCAAAAGTTGTCTAACTCACTGACAGAAAGGGCCAATGGTGAAATATGAAGATCGCTGATTTAAGAGACCAGGTTCCATCAAAATCCCCGCCATGCTGTGCACTCTGGTACTTGTGTTCTCACCTAAAAATGAGAAATAACTGGAAGAAATAATCTCAACTGTTACTCCCAGCTCTGAAGTTCTGTGGTTATCATTTGCTTAATTCTCACCAAGCTGCATCCTGGTTTGAGTGTAATAAATGAATCGAATCGATCTGTAAAATAACACGTTACAGCTATCCTACCTCTTGTATAGAGTTGCTGAACAAATCAATATAGTTACAACAAATGGAAGTGTTTTACTAAGCCACAGAGCACGATGTAATTGGAAGGTAGATCAGCACCTCTTTTAAAAACTCAGACTAAACTAAGATTATTATTATAGGCTCATATAACAGAGGCAGCAAAAGTGAACATCAAATCCAGACCTCAAAATCTTTCATGAAAAAGATGAAGCTTCAATACAATATGAGGAAGTTATATCCCACCTAACCTCATCATGAAATCAGAATTTATCTGTACAGACAAGCATCACATAAATTTAATTATTGATCACAATGCATATAAATAGCAAATAAGTTCTAAAATTTCCATGACACCCAACACACTACCTCTCTTGCTTCCAATAGCTTATTCAGCAAATGCATGTTGGGCACCTGTTATGCTCCACACACTGAGGATAAGGCAGGAACAGGTCAGGCTCTCTGCTCTCTGGGGGCTCTTGTTGCATTCCAGTGGAGGAAAGTAATTTGGAAGGAGAGGTACTATTTTGGAAGGCTGGGAAGGTCATGCAGTATAGCGGGGTTAAGGAATTAACCATTTTTTAAAAAGTGAGATGGGATAATTGTGAAGGATTTTCCAAAGGGCAATGACATGATCTGACTGGTTTTGAAAGGCCGCTGTGTGAACAATGGATTATAGGATAGTAAGGCAGGAGGGACCCTGTTTTTACCACCGGAACAGAGTGAAATGTGGTCAGATTGGCGGTTTCTTTTGAAAGCAAGACTGAACTGTGAAGTAAAGAGCAGGATTAAGGATGACTGGTAGGTTTTCGCCTGAGCTACAGGCAGATGGTGATGGTATTTTCCAAGATGAGAAAGGCTAGGGCCCGTTGCCCTCACTCACGCCCCCACGGACTCCCCGCCCAGTGCAGCCTGGGTTTCACTCTCACTGCCAAGGGGATTTTTTGTTGCTAAAGGCATCAAGGAGCTACTAGATCCGAAATCCACGGCTTACATTTAATCCCCTCTCTCACTTGACCTCCATGTGGCATTTGGCACAGTTGACCAGCGACTGTCCTTAAAGGCAGCTAGTCTTTTGGTATTGATGAGGCCATTCTCTCGGGATCTCCTGCCACCTCTCAGGCTGCACCTTTTATTTGTAGCAGGACAGGTTGCCTTCCCCTCACCCTTTTAGTTCCAACCTATTCTCACTGGGGTTCTCAATCCTCTAAATCTCCTTTGTCTTATCCGGCCCAAAGCCTCTGCTGGAAGAGGGACTTTTAGGACAATAACAAACTACAAATATGCCTTAAGAGTCCATCTGCACTGCTAACCAGGAGGTTTATCCTGTAGGTGCTCACTCTGAGGAGGGTGACGGTGCAGGTGGGTGGGAATAGACCGCCAAGGTGAGCTGAGCCGGGACCCTGGAGAACTGAA